CTCAGCTGGATCTGGGCGTGTGCCAGGGTTTAGAATGACACTGCAGTGCATACCATACGCCGTACGTTGAAATAAACAAGACGAAATCTGGTTATATGCAGTAACAGTACCTAAAAACAAACACAACTGACCGCGTTCGCGAGCTTTACGACAAGGTTCACGCTGCCGTTGCTGCCGTCTTCAACCAGCGACGAATCGGACGAATCTCCGAATCTGCCGAATATTCGTCGCGGGAAGTTCGGAAATTTCCGAATCTGGGCGAATCCGAATCTCCGGTGATTCGTCCCATCACTAGTTGTAGCCACTGTGGTTGTAGCTAGGGGTGTTGCGAACTTTTGTCGAACCAATTTTTAGGTCGAACTTTCGGGGTTCGAGTGAATCGAACCGGTTCGACCGGTTCGACGAACCTAATCGAGTGATGGACCAATGAGCAAAGCAAAAGCTGTCTCTGAATCGGGCGGCAACTCGCGCCACCTGGCCGTTAGAACTGAATGGGTGACTCCACAATCGCATACGTGGTCGGAGTCACCTAGCGTAAAATACCGGCAAGCGCCCACTCAAAATTTAAAGATAATCGCGAAAAAATGGAGGATGGGCGCTTGTCCGGTCATCAATTTTACTGATCAATGTACTGTGCATATTTTCTCAGAACTTACAAATTTGGGAATGGGCGAAGTCGCGCGCCGAGGAGGACGCGCGCGCTTGAGCCAATCAGCGAGCGTCCGGACGTGACGTGTTCCCTTTTCCGGTTGGGACATGTTTTCGCTGTTTTTTTCTATTTTCGACTCACAAAGAAGGCGAAAAGGCAGAGAGCTCGGGGGATTCGTGCGCTCGCCAAACGTGGCTGGAAGTATTCCAGCGTGGAAAGAAGCAAGCCGATTGGAACATCTGACTGTGAGCAGTGTTTTATGTGCGTGTACGACGCTGTGAAGCTACTCTTCATCGTTTGAGCGAAGCTGCCGCGAAAGCTGCCACCGAAGTGCGGGAGCGATCACTCCCAATGTGTTGTGTAATTTTGGGTACGCCCATCACTACGGAATACAACAGCCCTCCATCGAAAACACTCTCGCACATGCTGCGTGCAGTGTTAAAGGTACGGACGCGAAGGCTCTGGGACGCGCCGGCGTAGCACCGTGCTTTGTTTGCACAAAAACGCGGCAAAAGAGCACCTGAAGCTGCCCGTTCGAGTCCGTGCCTTTCGCCAATGCTGCAAATAACCGGAGTGTAAACGTATATATAATCATCACCGTTGTCCATTCATTGAAGACGGTTGTCTCCCACCGCATATGCAATCGCGAAGGCAAGGCAACAACAATCGTGCGAAGCAGACGAATAAAAAATTCCGTGTTCTCTCGACAAACGTGAGATTCCCCGAGACTACGCCGCCGTTTGGGTGGACCTGTGTGACTGCTTCGTATTTTACGACGCCGGCGTCGACGTCGACCGCAACGCGCGTTTTTTGCTCAGTGTGAATGCGCCCAGTCGGAAGTTGACTTCCGGTAATGCCTATGGGAAAAAGCGAGTGCATTTTCTCGCTGCGCTCGATTACAAGAGAAAATATCACAAATATTTCGTACGTACTAAGCACATTGGAACATTTCTCAGTCACGCAGACGAAATAATTGGTCAGTTACGGCGTTTTTATTTGAAATTCGTGGAATGAAAAACTGTGCTAAAACCGTTTCGTACATGTATTTGTGTGCACTGTCGGACACTGCTAGCGCGAACACGGCGTCGGCGCTTTCCGCCAAGGGGGATATACGTGTCAAACGAACGAAGGACATGTGGAAAACCAAGAGAGACGGCAAAAACTACGCAGTAACACTGGATAAGTAACTCCTCGTGCATGCAGGCGATAAAAATAAATTGAAAGCCACGTAATATAGTTCGATTTGCAATAAATAAGTTATTCTTTCTGCTCGTGATAATGTGCGAAGATGCATCGTTCTGGGTTCAAATCATCAACCGCACGCTTCAAATCTTTACAAGTAGGGAGAAGTCAGAGAACTGGTGCCCGATAAAAACTGCCTGAGATATGAAATAATAAAAAGACACACCTTTCGTAGCCCACATACTTTATTTTTTACATTCGAATGGTCTTTAACCGATCGTAAAGATGCACGACGGAGTCATATTCATAGAATGACAGGACGGGCATATTAGCAATATATAAGCGCCACCGGAATGCTAGCGAACCTTGAACACACTCTACATTCCTTTCGATCGTTATTTAGCTCAGAAGCGTCGCTTGTTTTTACATACCTGCCATGGAACAGAGGTTTGGGCCCGAAATATAGCAAAGCGTAACATCGTTCAATAGTAAAGAAAAATGCTCTAATTAAAGCAATTATACTTTTACAATATTAGTAAAGGTACATACTATGCGGTACAACCGAAGTGATCAAAGTTATTCGTGTTATTTTCCGGCGAAGAGACAAAATTCACGCGCGTTTTCCCATAGGAATGCACAGGAGCACCGCAAAAGTAGACTGGTTGCTGTCTGCTTCAATTTGCCTCCCGGAAGTCGCATAGACACTAGCGCCAGTTGAACCTCTAGCGTGCATTATAATAACTCTATGTCGGGACTGCGCGCACCTAGCGCCGAACAAATCAACTCGTATATAAAAATAAACATTTCTCCTTTGCTCAACTTATGCTACAAGTGAGATAGTGTGTGCCTGGTTACTACCCCCCCCCCCCCCCTCTTCTTTTTCTTTAGTGAAAGAGAGCGAGACAGAAAAGGAGAAAGGGCTACGGCGCTTTCTCCCTCGCTGGGTCGTTAAAAAGAGTGAAAATCCCGGATAAGAGGTTTCGCCGGTGTTTTGTGTCTGCAGTGCTCGAACTTCGTTTGCGCTTTCTTCTCTGGTTTAAACTCCCAAACATAATTCGAGCCACGGGCTTCGAAAGCGACAGTCCCCTGGTCATCGGGACACCACTGCTCAGTTGCACGAGTGACGACAGAAAGCGTCGAATACCGCCCGAGGACCTATGTAGCTTGCAATATCTATGGTGACAAGGAGCCCATTCCATGGTTTTATGCACTATAACTAATTCCTTGGTTCAAGGGCGCAGCTACGATTTAACTTTTAATACTGCGACAGAAAAGTTGTATCAATCACGGGTGTTTTAGGCGACCTACCACACTTCACGACATTTTGATTCAGGTAAAATATGCAACTCTGATAAACAAAGGGATGTTGAGTCGTATAAACACAATGTTTTGTACATTAAACTAGACTTTCTTTTGCTGTTGTTGATACTAAATGATGGGATTTTATATCTTTGGTACATAAAAGTAAAAGCAGATTGTATGAATCATAGAAAAACGACATAGTTAATTGTTTCACGGCGGAAACAGTGCCCACTGCCAGAACAATACGAAAAATATATTTACAATTTAACGGTTCAAACCAGTTCGAACTATTATTTTTGCTCCCTGGAACTGAGCCGAAAGCCGTAAACTTGAACCCGAACCGATAAAAATTTCGGTTCGACACTCTGGTACTGCTTCTCTGCAGTGCAAAAGTGCTCAGCGAAAAGTGCACTCAACGGGGCTGACCCACCGCGATTATGCAGAACTATGTTAGGCAGCCATCTCTTAAAAGTCCGCATTCGTCACTCGTTTTTTTTTTTTAATTTAAAATATAACAAAGAATATTTGCATATAGCATGGCAGATTTATAAATCCCCTCGATTCGGATAGCTATGACAAGCTTGCTGTTTACATGCCACAATTTATATAGTTGCATTAAAATTTCCTGAGCTTATAAAAGTGGACAAGTGGAAGGTTGGAAACAACCTTCACGAGTTCAGCTGAGTTTTCATCTAAGCATGGTGCATGTTAGTGAAGGGCTTAGAGAAGCTATCCAATTTTCGATTCAAAAATATTCGGACAAAACCACTCTTCGCTACAAACTCAAAATCCACTACTCACATATGCCTAGAAATCCTGGAAACAGTATAGATTCCCTTAGAGTAGCCTATCAATGACAATGAACTTCCTTCCCACCATGACAGGCTGTCTCCCCCAACTCGCATCCTCTCCGGCGTTTGCTCTGCTAATCTGCAAGATGTGGCATTGTGGGGGGACCTTGTCCCGCCATTTTTAACCTACAACAGACTACAGTATAGGTGTGAAGTATTGTTCATCGACCATTTACTATTTATTAAATATTGCAGTGTGCACCTAGAATATAACTTCTTGTTTAGTTACTTTGTGCCAGCGCTTAAAACGCGACGACTCTCGAAGGCCAGAGTGAAAGTGCCAGGTAAAACAATCGCCTTCTGGGAACACCTCAAGTGGCGATAAAAAAACCATGACCTGGCACACGCAGAGGCAATCGCCTTTTGACACCCAGACCGGATGTATGGTCCTGTTTGCTTTAGCTCCTGTTTGCTTTAGCTACAAATACAAGTTCCACTCGTTGAACTATTCATTTGTGGTTAAATCATCTGCCAATTTTATTTGTGGCAATATTTATACTACTAAGGACGATACCAGAACAGGAAAACTTAACCTGCCCCAGGCAATGTGCATGCTCAGACTCAAAAAGAGGCCCAGGGACACTAAGAATCCCTTATCGCCAATGAAGAATGGTGCAGGTGGTAGAGATTTTATACAACATTGTACGTCTCTCCCCTTGATCAGGTAGCAATAGTCCCAGTCGAAATGGTCCATGATTAAATGGTCCCAAATATGAAAAAGGACAAAATGGTCCCAGGTAAATTGTGTGGCATAGGTTGCTTCACAGGATCACCTGCTCTTGGGGGTTGGTCGATAGCCTCCACTTGATGCAAATTTAACATAACAAAAAATTGTTGCAGCTAGTAATAGTGGTAATATATATCGCTTGCGTGTCTGTAGTCACCCCTACTTGTGGTTACCGTGAAAAAAAATTTCGATGGTGCGAAGTAAATACTACAAAAAGTATGCGCTCAGCACCAACACAACCACAATAAGTGACAATTAATGAAAGTCACACATATGAAGCATATACCACAATATAAACATTTAATCAGTGCGCAGCAGCAGGCATATTTTCAGTATTTGCAAGGTGCAGAAAAACAACAATAATAATAGTAATATGAGCAATATTAATAGAAATAATTTTTACTTGCAGTTTCAGTTACCAACTAGCACCAGGTAAGGCTACATTGATTGTCACAAACAAGAACACAGAGCAACAAAATATTGTGACCACCAACTGATCTCTAAAACAACTGTTAGATTGCGCTTCCTGCTCCTGCAAGACGGCCATCTTACATGCCAAAAAATTGCGGTTTTGGAGCGTTACGGAGGTTGGCGGCAGTGTGCTGAAGATATGTTTTGGACTCGTTTGTCATCATTCGCCGAAGAAGTTCTTTAAAACCCGTGCAAGCCGTGAAACTTGCTGTGAGAACACATAAAAAGTTTTACGGAAACGCAGTGTTGCAGGAAAAAGGCACAAGTCGTCGAAAGCAAGTTTCGCCAGTCTCGCGGCATGATCAAAGATTCCTTCGCACGCCCAAGTGCTGCGTCTCTGTGCCTTCGCACGCTTGGATACCGATCAAGAATCGATGAGCGCCCGATGGATTCACATTGCCACGGCAAGTCACCTTATTTAAAACACCTGCGGACCCCAATCGCCTCGGATTATGAAATAGTGCAATTCCCCACTCCAACCGCAAGCTTCAGCCCGGTGATTGTGCTTGCAAAAAATATTTCAGCCCACTCCGCACGAAGAAAAAGTACTACTGAACGCACAAAAAAGTCAGTTTTTTTAACAGTGTGAAGTACTTGTCCTCGGTGTAGAACAAGCCACCTAGGAAAATGTCGAAGAAGCGACCGCTCATTTTTTGTGAAACCTCTGCAAAGCGACTCACCTCGCAAGTTCTGTCTAGCGTAGTGGCAATAGTCAACAACACCCAAGCAGCGGTTTATCCGGCAACCTGTCCCTGCAATGAAACAAGCCGTGCAAAGAAAGGTGGGAGGAAAAATGAGGAAGCAGAACCACCAGCGACCCAAGCTGCGGAGGAAGAAAACAAAGTCACGGGCTCGGTGATCACGGGTTACAGCCCGTGATCAGGCATCACCGGCTGTAACGTCAGGCATCACCAGAGACAAACAACAAAGAGTTTGCAAAAAACAACCTCGCTGCAGATTTGAAGCAACTGGGGCACTTTTAATGTCAGACACTTTAAATTCACAAGATTTTACAAGCAAAAGCATGAAAACTGTGTTTTCTACCAATCTTTTTAGAGGGGGACACCATGCAAAGAAAAAAGGGTATTGTTGAGTGACCAGATATCTATCGCATTCAGCATTTTCTGTTTATCGAGATACAAACTAAACGCTGGCATTACTCATATGCAGCTATTAGTATCCTCGGCACCTTAGATGGTTACAAATATGTTTTAAACTGCAAACACGCGAATAAATCCTTCGGTCAGGCGAAAGGATATAATGCCTTCCGACTTCTACAGCGTCAACAAAAATACACCCAACACAGCCGACATCAGAGGTGGTTATGACACCGCCACAGAGATTTTCTAGTCGAGACGAAACAAAGAAGGTTTACACCTGATAACGCACCATCCCAGAAAAGAGCACAGCAGCAGAGCCTCCATAAAGGAGCACTTGATTGTCAAGGAAGCCAAGCCAAGCAAAAGACACTGGACTGTCGAGAAAGCCAAGCCGAGCTAAAGCCACAGACGCAGAGATCCAGCAATGGCGTAGCCAGTGTAGCATCATGTAATCCGCTCACTAATCGAATCAATAAACATCGTTTTCTGACATTGATAATAGGTGCACATGCACTCTTCAACACCGAATCTGCACCCGGATCTTTGCCGGCGATGTATTCTTCTCGTTGATGATCGTTGCATTTCAAAAGAGCCGAAAAACTGCTTTTTTTCCCCCGACCGAACCGTGCATACGGCAGCTTCCAGCAGCATTCCTGGCACCCTTTCTGACAATTTGAAGGCACCCCCAATAAAGCTCTACCTACACCGAAGTGTTCTTAAAGGGCCCATGAAACGATTTTTGGGTTGGGATAAATCATTTTAGATTGGGATTTTACTAATAGCACATCGTTCAGTGGACCAAAAGTAAAAAGGTAGAAAGGCAAAAGCCTGACTTTCAGTGCGAAAATTTGAAAACAGAGTGGACTATTTCGTACCTCCTCCCCTTCGCAACCTCTCTGCCTTTTCACTGTGATACATCCGCGGTCCCAAAAGCGCGTCAACGGGTCCAAACTGACGTCACACGCAACCGGACCTCACTTATTCCCTTCACCCTTAAGCTGACATTGTGGTGGAAGCTACGCGCTTGCCGGACCAATCAGCCGCCTCCGTTTCATCACCTGACTTCATTCTCTGCAGCCACATTTGCCACGCTCACGTGGCAAGTGTGGCTGGCCCAATGAGCACGTAGCTTCAACAGCACTGTCAGCTTCGGAATGAACGGGGTGGGGAAAGCAACTTTTGTTTGAATTTTGAGCGACGGGCTAATCTTCTAGGGGGAGAATGGATGTGTCCGGATTATACAAACGAGAGTGCGAGCAAGAGGGGACTCCCCATTTTCGTCTCCTATAACTGTTTGGTGGAATGCGCGATTTATGAGTTGAGGAGGAAAGCTAAACAGGAAAAAGTTGGAAAAGCGTTTCATGACCCCTTTAAGGTGAGTAGGAGCGAAAAATCTTTGGTCGCCCTCGCAGAGATCCGATCCAACTAACCTCCTTTCTTACACTAAGGGAGGGAGGAGGCGGGAGGTGATGCATTTAATTTTGTTTCCCCGATGACCCAAAAGTCTTCCTGGCAATCGCCTCCACGGCGACGTTTGCGCGTTTTTCAAGCTCTTGCCAATTCGTGTTCGTAAGACGAGCAATGTCTTCACCCAGGAGAAGGGACGACGACTCGGCGACGTCTTCATGTGAATCGGACTGGTGGATGGGGTACCTTAACGAGTATCACTCTGTAGTGATCCACGAACACACACCAGTAGGATGCTTGTTAATCCTTTCTGCAAATGTTTCAAGCACTCTTAACCTCTCACCACATCACAAGCATGTAGTTTACAATGGAGTGTCATATACTTTGGAGCTCTGCATCTGCTATACTGCATCAGCTGTAACGTGAGCAGGAGAAAATAGATGAGACTGTACAATCGTAGGAACCAAACGTATGATACAGGCCGCGAGTGTTGATGTCACTGGCCTGCAAATTGGCAAAGTTTCTTTCACGGGCCAGGCTTGGGGAGCTCTTGAACCGGAGCAGCAGGGTGCCGAAGGAGCACCGGTCTATGCTTAGCGAGAAATGGTCGCTTCGGCCTCTGGCATGCTGCGAGCCCTTGGCAGTTCCGACGATGCTTGATGCAAGCTCGAGTCTGAAATCACATTCCACTTTCGCCGAGCACGCAATCCATTTGGCAGCCTAGCTTGTCACCTGTTTCGATTAGTCATAGGCTTCCAAACAGGAAATGGTCAGCAAGCAAGGCAGCCAAGCAGGCTGTACTTTGCAAGGTCACCCCTCGCTTTGTTTGGAGAAAATGAAATACAACCTCGGGCTCGACCTTGCACCGAGTCTCGTCAAAACTTCCAAGGTCTCACAATGTGCCGAACACAGAAGCGACCTTTTCCCACTCGGTGTCGACAGTTGCTCCGTTGAGAGAGGTCCCCCAGCCCCGTCCACAGAGGAGGCTCCGCTTTATTGCAGGCAAGCGACGCCAACACTGAAGTTGTTGAATGGAAAGTAAAGGCTTTTGGACAAATCTTGCACTTAAATGGCTTCTCACCAGCATGTATTGAGGTATGCTTTTTCAGGAATGAATTCAGAGCAAATGATTTTGAGCAAAGCTTGCACTTAAATGACTTTTCAGCAGCATGTGTTTGATTACAAACTTTCAGATCTGCATTCCGAGCCCAGGCTTGGGGGCAAAGCTTGCACTTAAATGGCTTTTCACAACTGTGTGTTTGGTTATGCATTCTCAGATCTGAATTCCAAACAAAGGCTTTTGGACAAAGTTTGCACTTAAATGGCTTTTCCAAAGTATGTGTGTGGTTATGCATTCTCAGACCTGCATTCCAAGCAGAGGCTTTTAGACAAAGCCTGCACTTAAATGGCTTTTCACCAGTGTGCTTGGTTATACCTTCTCAGATCTGAATTGAGAGAAAAGGCTTTTGGGCGAAGCTTGCACTTAAATGCCCGTTTGCCACTGTGTCCAGTTGTGGATTCTCAGATCTGAATTCCGAGCAAAGACTTTTGGACAAAGCTTATACTCAAATGGCTTTTCACCAGTGTGTTTGGTTATGCATTATCAGAACTGAACTCAGAGCAAAGGCTTTTGGGCAGAGCTTGCACTTAAATGGAGTTTCCCTAATGTGTGTTCGGGTATGCACTCTCAGAAATGAATTCCAAGCAAAGGCCTTTGGGCAAAGTTTGCACTAAAATGGCTTTTCACCAATGTGTGTTTTGTTATGCCTTCTCAGATCTGAATTCCGAGCAAAGGCTTGGAGGCAAAGCTTGCACTTAAATGGCTTTTCACCAGTGTGTGTTTGGTTATGCTTTCTCAGATCTGAATTCCGACCAAAGGCTTTTGGACAAAAATTGCACTTAAATGGTTTTTCACCCGTGTGTGTTTGGTTATGCATTCTCAGACCAAAGTTCCGAGCAAAGACTTTTAGACAAAGCTTGCACTTAAATGGCTTTTCGCCAGTGTGTGTTCGGTTATGCCTTCTCAGATCTGAATTCAGAGCAAAGGCTTTTGGGCAAAGCTTGCACTTAAATGGCTTTTCACCAGTGTGTGTCCGGTTATGGATTTTCACATCCGAATTCCGAGCAAAGGCTTTTGGGCAAAGCTTACACTTAAATGGCTTCTCACCAGTGTGTGTTCGGTTATGCATTCTCAGAGCTGAATTCCGAGCAAAGGCATGGGGGCAAAGCTTGCACTTAAATGGCTTTTCACTGGTGTGTGTTTGGTTATGCCTTCTGTGATTTGAATTCTGAGCAAAGGCTTGGGGGCACAGCCTGCATTGGAACTTATCACTTTTGTTATTTTGAGTGTTGCTTGGCACTTTGAACCAAGAGCCAGAAGACACGGGAGGATGCTGGCTCTTGAATTGTTCATCACCATGGGCAACCAGGTGGATCACGATTTCACGCTGATCCCTGGTGACATAGGAGCAGGAACAGCATCTGAACGAGATGTCCTCGGTGACTTTCAATGGGCTGCTGGCTTTCCCCAACGATGCAACTCCATTACCTACAAGAAAGAACCTCATGTATTAACACAAACAAGAAATGTCCAACCAAGGTAGCCACTTAGTTTAGAAAAGAGTAGCCATTAATGCAGTCTTGCTGAAGCTATGCAGTATATGCTGCTGCCCTTTTGAATTCAGTTCACGGAAGCACTCAAACACAACTGACACTATTAATGAAGGGGAGTCCCTTGTCTTTAAAAATGAAAATGCTAGGGAAAAAGATTTTTAAGCCTTATATTTTTATATCTAAAGCACTTTTTACATATCTTATATTTACTAGTCAGAATGTGCACAATGATTTAGTTATCTCCATCAAAAGTTTGATATCTATAGTGCTTTAAAGGTCATTTTGAAAAGTTCTTTGTTTTCTAATGATTATTATTTTTTGCTGACAACAAAATGTTTTTACATGGTATTTCTGGATCTAGAATATGGATCTGAATATTTCTTGGAGTCTGGATAACTCATGAATCAAAGTGTGGAAGAAAAAAATTTCAGGGGCTGTAGTGATTACCTTTCCAATTAGCAATTTAATGACTTCATCCTGGTTATCAGTGAAAGAATTTCAGCATGTGATGCAGACATATCTCGCTAACATGGACGCCCCGCTATATAGACAGAATTGGGGGGGGACCAATCCCTCCCCATGCAATTCTGTCTTATTAATGTAGACTTTTTATGTGATCCAAAGCAAGTAAAAAAACATGTCTGTTTGGACTGTGCTTTAGCCGAAGACCATGACGTGCTTCATTTGCACGCACTGCCCAGATCCCAGCAAAAAATACATTAAAGAAACAAAGAAAAAACGTGGGGAAAAATGCCAGAGTAAGAGGGAAGAACTCAATAAAACGAAATACAAAAACTGAGGAGGGGGCTAGGTCGATGGTCACATGATCTGTTATCTCGCAATTGTGCCATACTGGTGCGCAAAAAAAGGCGCCCTGGCACAGCACACTGTTTTTGGGCAGTTCCGGTGCAAGTTAATCAAATATGAAACGAGATGATGAGAACTTTTACTAACAGTATGAGGTGGAGTTGCCGGAGCGTGCAGTAGTCGATACATGCTGCGCTACCTCGAGGCCGACAAAACTGTGGAGTGGAGAGGGGGCTTTGAGGATGTGCACTTTCTCCGGTGTGTACACCCTTGCGTTTCCCGTCTCCACTATCTGTTTTATCAGCCTCCAGTTAGTGCAGAATATATCAGAGGCCACATGCTTCAGAATTTGTGTCCATATTGTTCACAAAAGTAAATCATACGAAGGAGTGTAATGAAGAGGATATCTCAGTAGAATTTCATCTCCGATAGGAACTTTTCTGGAATCCAGATTGCATCGGGGGGGAAGCCTTTCCACTCACCTGCTGATGCAATATAGTGCTATTTTCAAACAAAAATAAAGAAAAAGCTTGTCTTTTTGTTCCAGTTATCAGCGGACAGCTTGACCCTGAAAGCCCCCCACATAACCCACCCATCCCGTCACCCCGCCCTGCAAGCGGCGAGAATGGCTTTTTTTTATGCAGTTTAGAAAGAGGGTAGCAGTGAGGGTTGTGGGTAGAGCCCTGCGCGGATAACAGTTTGAGTATCCGCATCCGATCCGCATACTTTGTATCTGCATCCGAACCGCACCCGCAAAATGTGGAACTATGACGATGTCTCCCTAACCACCAGAGGTTACGATTACATTTAGACTAGAAAAATCAGCGGAAATCATGCCGACCGCCTTCTTCCCCGCCGCACACTGAATTGAAAACTTTCACCTGTGGCCCCTTAACTCTCCCCTGAAGTCTGAACGCCTAAGAAGAAAGGTCATAAAAAAAAAGTTCGGAAAGAGAGGAGGAGAAGCAGTGGTAGGAAGACGAAATCTTTTCTGTAATGTTACCGAGCGTATGCGGCCACCTCGAGTCTCACAGTGTTTCGTGTCAGTCAGCGGGCAGATGTGCCGCTAAGTCAGAGTCCGAGGCCTGATCGGATCGACTAACGTGTTGTTCGAGAAAGATCGCAGCCTGCAGGCGCCCAAACATATACTGAAAGAAAACATTTTTTTTTTCTTTTTTTGTTTGGGGCGGCTACATAGGTTGCGCGCGGCAGCCGCTGGCATTGCTGGTGCTCTGGCATCGTAACCAGACAAATATTAACTACCAGACTTTCTTGGTTATAACTCTAAGCATACAAAAAAGAAACAGGCAATTTAAGGGCTGCCTATGGGCGTGCGCCGCTGATTCCGAAACTTTGCAAGCTTGGCGACACAGGGTCGCGCTCGCTGCTGAAGCATTCTTTTGTTTTTGGTATCATGACCACACCACTCTCTGCGGAGAGGGGGAGGTTTCTTCTACTTTCTTGTGACTTGTTCGTTTGAGGTTTTCTTTGCCCGAGAAAGTTTTCCGCTCTTTCCCTGACAAAGAACTAGCTTTCTCAGCACGATTGATGCCCTGCATTCTTTACTTTCACTTTTTCTATACACAGCATTTTTGACTAGATGAAATGCACTAACTGAAGCGATCTTCAGTAAGAATCAGATCTTCCTTATGATCCCTATCGTTTCTTCGAAACATATTTTATGGAAATATGTTTCGTGGACAACTTTTCCCAGACATACATTTCATGGACACATGGTTCGTCGACGCTGTACTTTTTGTGGGCACATGCCCCTGTGACGTTTTGTCGAAAACATATTTCTTCACTAAGCCGCTAAAAGCTAGCGTGCGATTCACTAAGGTGTGCTTAACCAAACCATGTCCCCCTTCCCCTGCAATGCAGGCGAGACGCAAAAAGTTTGTTACGACAATGGCAGGATTGTGTGCACGAAACGCGTCAGGTTTTTCGATGGAACAAACACGGGAAGCCTTTCGATGAAACGCCGCATGTCGACGAAACAATCTGTAGGTGAAACGTCAGTCGACGGACTGAATGCCACCGGGCAAAAATTTAGATCCGGATCTGCAGATATCCGCATCCGCAGCCCCTGACATCCGCATCCGATCCGCAATCCGCCAAAATTTGTCTAATTTTTATCCGCATCCGCCAGTTTGCTGCGGATATCCGCGGATATGCAGGGCTCTAATTGTGGGCCTCCAAGCCCATCGCGAAGAAGGCTCTTTGTCCCATTCTTACCGGATTAGGAATAAAAAAAGTGAAAGCCGTTTACAAATCCCTGTAACGCCGAATTGGAGCGCAGCTCTTGAGGAGGAGTAGGGAAGGGTACTGAGGGGGGTCACGTCACCTGCGGGTAGTCACGTGACCCCGGGGGGGGTCACGTGATCTCGGGGGAGGGGGGGTCAAGTAACCTTGGGGGGGGGGGGGTCACGTCAACTGCGGGTAGTCACGTGACCCCGGGGGGGTCACGTGATCTCGGGGGAGGGGGGGTCACGTAACCTTGGGGGGGGGGGGGGTCGTAGCGTGAAACAAAGTGTTGAAGTGTACGCCACCACACCAGTTCGTGCTGCACATAGACGTTGTGGCGGTGTCGCGGGTTTTGTGCCGGTGTAGCAGTGCAATCAAGAAAAGCATGAAGTTCGGGTCATGAGGTCAGGGCGGGTGGAGCGAGAGGTGCGAGCTAGTTGGAGCTCGATGCCTGGCCAGTCAGTCAGCAGGGAGCGAGGACAGTAAAGGTGTGTTTTGCCTTCTATCTGCCTTGTTGGTCCTTCTTGCGGTTGAGCAGTGGCACCGAACTTACAACGTGCAATAGACTTATTTGATTTATTATAATGAAGCTGTCTCCATGTCATCGCTACCATTTGTTTAGTCAAAACTGAGCCGCTGATGCCACCGTCGCGAATATTTAATTCCTTCACGCCGCCGCCTGCAAAAGAGGCGCGGCTCGCATTTCATAACGCCCAATTGTTACCAATGAACTTGTAACCGCCACTTGAGGTTGCGGTTTCGTTCCAGTTCGAGTTCAAAATCAAACGTTTGATTTGGGTTACAGTTTTGTTCCAGTTCAGTTAAAAATAACAACTTTGCTTCGGTTTTCGGTTCGGGCTCGGTGCAACATTGTGGTTAAAATCTACCTGCTAATCCTGTATGATTGCAACCGATGCTTTGTCGCGTCTCGCGGTGCCAGGAACGACATCTTATTTGTCTACAACTAATCAGTTTTGGTTGCTTCACGGAGGGCGCACCATTTTCATCCTCGAAGGAGCGTAAGCCATGTCAGTCACCTCCAATGCAATGATGCTGTAGCCACTCCCCTTGTGCTAAAAAATTGCGCCATCAGCATGTTGGCCCTAAATGAAAATCGACACAACTCGCACATGAACCGAGCCCATTCCATTCCCGCTCCAGAACGGGATCATTCCAACTCCGCAGTGGCAACTCTGCAACACTTCTAGACACTGCTAATGTCACGTGTTAATGAAAGAGGTTGAAAAATGAAAGACTTACCACAACTTGAGGACTGGATCGGTTCCATTCGGATTGCTGTCTGCAGTCAGGTTCCTAAGTACACCGGGACCATGAGATGACTAGGACCAAATGCAAAGAGCAATAACATTAATTAAGAAGTGAGCACGCCCTCCAAGCATGTCGAGCTAGCCAGACAACTATGAAAATAACACAAATGAGACACACCCAGAACTTTTGTTATTTCAAGATAACAATGACGAAGGGATGAGGAAATGGAATGCTTGCGTGCCTAGCAATACAAAGAGCAAGTTTGTCTGCTACTTGAGCAGGGGTTGCGGTGATGTCTAAATGCCAAGCAGCGAGCATTCAGGTCTACCCCCTATCCCTCCATCAGAGCCAATCGGAACTCGGCATTCTTACGGCAGTGGAATCCCTGTGCAAGAATTAAGCAAACTTGCACTCCACAGAGGCAGTAGCTTGAATTGCCCAAGATGAAGTTAGAAAGTATGCTAACATAATCAGTTTTCTTCTCTTCCTCAGCCACATTGCCAGTACAATGAAGTCCAATCAATGAAGATGTTAGGACCCGCAAAAGATGAAATCTGAGATGACTATGCCGCTGGAACCCATCTGTTCTCCCCGTAGTTTTGCTAAACTTGTTTCGTAAAAAGCAGTTTAGTTGTGTGGATAAATTTCATTGAACAGTGTCAGTTTCGGAACCACCATTCAGGAAGGCTTCCATGTTCCCCTTTGCACGAAACATTTCGGGTGCTCCTTAATGCTACAGATAATGAACATTCCTTCAAAAATCCCTTCAAATAGAGTGGTTAAGAAAATTACTCTTTTTGGGAACAAACTGCCAGCCACAGTGGATGTCTGGGATTACAAAAACACACTAATTAGTAAGATGATTACCTACAATGTCTTAATTTACTTTTGAATTTGTGAAAATAAACATATGGTTTCCATTGGAAGCTTGCTGAGTGTCATCAAAGACTCCTAGATTCATCAAATTCAGGGGACTTAAAGCTTGAGCGAAGCGTGAGGGCGTGCTAAAGTTTGCTATCATGTCGCAGGCGGAAAGCTGGCGATGCGAAAATGGATGATCTTGTTATAATCCGCATCTTGGCATTGCTAGCCTTCTGCCTGCTGCAAGAGCGGAAATTTTAACCCAATCCCGAGCTTTGCACCTAATTTGTCTTCATGCAGTCCCGCAGCTTTACGAATGAACCATCTCTGGTGCGACATTGTCTTCCCTCATATGGGCTCCGATTCTTGTAAATCTATGTTGTGTGTGCGCTGCTGACTGTCTGAAAAGGAATGCTGAGATATTTCAGAAGAGAAGAGAGCCTAAAAAGATCCAGTCATCGCCGCAGGGAGCGCACATGAGCAAGAGATGGGTCGACAATGTTAAGCCTTTCGTCCCGCACTGCTGCCCCTGCTCTCATGTGTGGTTCTTATGAAACTTCTTTCCTTCTACCCGTCATTTTTCTGTCGTCAACGCGTCTCGAGTAGTTTTTTTTTTTTTTCGCTTGATACTACGGCATTTACGTGGATTTGCGGAACAAGTCCTGCTAGGGTTTGAGTGACGTGTAGCAACTAGCCAATGATGACACTGGTCGATTATCGATAGATCTCTTTCTTGATAGAGAGAGACTTCTTGGAGTTTGTGTTCAAATGTTTTCGTGACAAATATTGCAGGACGTATGGATATGATCGACAGGTGAGAAACAACTTATTTACAGGCTTTCATGGTCATGTAGGACGCAATTAAAGTGCTCAAGTCGTTTTTTTTTTGTTTTTTTTGTGATAGAATGGAATCTTGTTCTTCATCGTTATCCGTGTGCAGTTGCGTCGACAATTGTAAATATGCGTGGCAATATACTAGTTTTCACTGGAAGGTGAATAACAAGTTTGTGCGATTATTGAAAGTGTGTTATTGTGCTTATGTGTTTATTTATACTAATGTCATTTTATTGCCTTTACCACCTTTATACAAGAATCTTAACTGTATTAAGGTAAGAGTATTATTCTATACAAAATAAATTATATTTTGTTCTACGGCCACTCGAGCCCATAGGGAGAAGTAAATTAGCTGACAGTAAATAGTAAGTTTAGTACCCCTGCCACACGGAAAAGTAATATATTTTCATTAAATGATATGAAATTTAATCAGCTTGCGGTCTTGAGTGATTATACGCGCCTGGCAAGCTGATTTGTCGACCCCATAATGTTATTTGATCAAAATTACATTAATTTTGCCATGTGGCTGGGGTATTATACAAGAATTCCGTGATCGTGTGTGATAACATTGCTTATATAACCGTAAGGGACACCTGTCTAGCCATGTCCGCATTGACTACGTCTACCCGATTTTAACTGCAATTTGTTTTGCTGTGTCCAATTACTGCGTGTCTCACTATTTTATAGAAGCTTTTCTGCATACAATATGTATTCCTACAGCAATTATTGAGTGAATCAATATTTTCACCTTAAAACACATTTTTCTAAACACAAACTCGCTCTGCTGTTATGTCATGGCGCGGTGGTGGCGTGTCGGGAATACTTCCAGTCGGGGACTGTGGGTGGAAGTCACCATGCGAGATGTGCATTCCTGCTTGTTTTTGAAGAAATCAGACAAAAACCTGCCTTCCCGTCAAAACACCACAACTATGACTGTGCCAAAGGAGTCGGGAAAGGTTTAAAGGTCAGTTTTCATGTGTTTTCTGCCTATTCGGCACATCCTAAAACATGGATGGGGCCGTGAAAAAGAAAAACCAGAGACCGTCGGGCCACGATTGCTTGTGCGGGAGGCACTTTGGGTTGAATTCACGGATACTTGTGGTCGTCAGATCTATTTGCTTTGTTCCAACATGAATGCGGGAAAACTGCAAAGTTGTACAAACCATGTGCCGACTACATTCAGTGCGTCTTCAAGTTCAAACGGCTGCCTGATTGTTCAAACTGTCGTCTGCTTATTCAGATGTTTCTGCTTGTTGTTGTCTACTCGTTCAAACGACAGGGGCCCGTAGACCAAACTCCGGTCATTGCGATAAGAACAGCGTGCAGGACTCAAAATACTTTTAATTTTGAAGCTTGGTTGAAATGAATAGGCTCAGTGTAAGCAGTAGATACGAAGAGATGTTGATAATTGTTAACAGTGGCCATAACAGACTTGTTATGCCCGATTCACTTGGTCCGATTCTGCTTTCGATTTTCAGTGTCGACGTCGACATCTCAGCAACAGTTCACGCTTTTGCAGCCCAAGCGACGTCATGAGCGAAAATAGCGAGCTGAATCTCGGCATGCAAATCGGGCTTTAGCGTCCATTCTGCGGCATCCACGTGGCATGAATCGCCGCGTGTCACATTATTCATGCAAAGTTTTGCGGTATAACGAACCTCGTTAATTTCACTGAGGCCGCCACAGTAGTCAGACATTGCCAGAAAGATGTGGAATCAACCATTCAAATGCAAAAAAGAGCACAGGGACTCGCACGGACAACATCACATTGCAATGATTTGTTTACGGGCGACGGCAAACTCTTTTCCCAAACACTCAATCATGCATGCGCAGTGCCGGTGGCGTTCACGGGGGCGCTCCAGTTTGTTTGTAAACATGAGTTGGCGTATAGATGTGTTATACGTCCGTAGCTCTCAAGTTTCGAGCAGTGCTCCAGGCAAGCAAAATAGAATATTTGGCTCGCGTTTCAAACGTGCGTCATCACGCTTCCCCACTACAGTTTTTTAAACTCCGTTCCATTTGAAGTGCCAGTGCCTAAGGCCCGTTCACACTTGCGACAGTCGCTGGAGTGACCAGCGACTTGTTTTTGGTCACGGAGCGACCAAACCAGGTTGGTAGCGACTGGTTTTGGGCAGTCACTCCCTGACTGACTTCTCAAGTCGCAAAAACGAGTCGCCGGATGGCGGAGCCCATCGCAGTCTCGTCGAAAGTGATGCGTGCGTTTTTTTACATCTGGCACTGCGCACGGCGGTGGTAACTGGCATGAATTTCTTCGCGGAAGCTCTTATTAATGCTGTCAAAGACTATCCGTTTTTTTTACAGTAAGCGGCACCCTGACCACAAAGATCAGGACAAAAAGCTGCAGGCCTGGAACGAGAGCGGCAACATTTTCGGCATGGCAGGTACGTACAGGGGCGGATTCAGAGGGTGGGGTCCGGATGTCCTGACTTCGCTATCACGTAAAGTGAAACATACGGGCTCACGGGAGCTATGAAAGAACAGAAAAAAATAATAAAGCTGAATGAGACGCTGAGGCCACGAGCTGCATAATTCTTTTTTTATTTTATTTTTTATTTTTTTAGACATTTTGTTATCACGCGTCTACAGATGCTGACAGATGCTTGCATTCGAATGTGGCATGAATATAGTGCTCTAGCCCTGACGACGGTCGATCCACGCGCGTTGCCTTCGCTTCGACGCGCGCCATCGATGGCCTTCCTTTCCGACGTCACGAGAAGAGTAGTACGGCCTTGTCTTCTAGGAGGTGTTGGCTGAACGCCAACACCGCCGCTCGCAATTTTTTGGGGGTTTTTGTTTTAAAGTTTCGGCTGGAACGTTTATTACTGAAAAGAGTAAAGCGAGCGTGCCCTGTGTCGACAACTTCAAAAAACCCTACTCATGGGCACAAAGAAAACAAAAACAAAGCGCGAAAAGCCGACGTTGCAGATGCCAAGCCACAGCCGTCGGCCGTCATCAGCGCATTGTGAAGTTGACTACGCAAATATCGCCTAACGCACCTATCGACTCAGTTTTGAGACAGTACCTGTTTTGTTGATTAAGTCGCGAAGTCTCCGAACGTGAAATCGACTTCACTGACTTCACTTTCACAGGCGGACCGCCGCCTTCACTCGGGTAACTCGGGGAAACTTTCAGACAGTTTGTGATGATTTGCAATCCTAAACGAGTGGTGGATAAATGAACACAGCTGAAGCGGCTGAAGCCTCTGAATCGGGCAGCAGCTCGCGCCACCTATCGGAAGCTATGCAGCATAACTGCGCAAGTTTTGACGGAGGCGCCTTTTGCGCCTAACAAATCAACTCCAAAATAAAAATAACCATTTATCCCTTGCTCAACTCATGCCACCAGTAGGGTGGCCACCCGTCCCGCGACTGTCCTTCCTTGAGGCCTTGTGTCCCGCGTCCCGCAAGTAAAAAAATTCTCAAAACTTCAAAATGTCCTGCATTTCATACTGAAATAAAATTCACCCTGCAACTCATGACGCTGCCGAACAACGGGGCACGGGGAAGCGCGGAGGTTGCTGGTAATCGTGTGAATCACAATGGTACACCATTTTCTCTATCCAAACATTGTGGGAAGCAACCATCGTTCTTGCCGTTCTTGCAGGCGTTGTTGCAGGAGACCAGACGCGCGTGCTCCGTTGTGCCACTGCCCTTGGCAAATATTCTACGAAGAATTGCTCACCAAAAGTTTCAATATAAATTATTGTATTTATTTTGAATTCGCTGTGTCAATGCGAAAGTGTTGCTGTGGATTTTTGTTTTAGTGAAGGCAGCCATACAAGGCAAAAAGCCTACAACTCGCAGTGGTCAAAAAAGAATATAATGTTAAAAATTTCTGTATAGGACCATGTTGATAAAAGTAAGCATTGACATGAAATAATAACCCGAAAAAAGATTTACTGTCTCTTATTTCCATTTTATGCATTGAGTTCTGCTACAGTAGATTTTAATCAACTTAGACACATTTAATGACACATTTGGCATTAAAGATATATCACTGGGAGTGAAAATTAATGGAGCTGAATTGCCGCAATACAATTAGCAGGTGTATAAAGAGCAATTAGCAGGTTATAAAGAGCAAAGAGCGCGTGGTGCGTGTGTTAATAAATTTCCTCTACCTACCCCCCCCCCCCCCCCCCCTCCCCCTTTGCGTGTCCCGCATTTCGCTAGCAGGAAGGTGGTTACCCTAGCCACCAGTGAGATAGCCTTTGCCTGGTCCCACCTTTTCTGAAAATCTATTTTCCCTGAACTTTTATGTTTTCACTGAATCGACTGAATCAGTCAAGCTTTGATCTGTTCACTAACCTCAGTGGAGTTGGGTGAAGCGACCATGCAGAAGACGATTCATCATGTCGTGAAAGCAGAGAGCTTGCGAGGTGGGGTTCGGCCTGTTATTCTGAACCTGCAACAGTTTATGCCAGGAGCAAATCGTCCGCTTCTTGCGCGGGGGTGCCGGGACGTCAGAACACCGCCGTGTTCTTGTCCGACTGATTGAAAGGATAGTGGGTAGACCAATTATTGCTAGATGCCTTGAAGTCTACCCACTATTATTTTCAGACATCCAATCAGAGCTCAGGGTCCTGACATCATCGCAAATGGCCTGTACAGGAAGCAGATGAACTTGCATTACACGTTTGTTCTAACCGTTTCATGCCGGCTACAAGACATCCAGGTTTAGCGGAGGAGTCTTGTTACTGGTATCACACAAAATACCGAGGAGGAACATTCAAATTTTTGAATAATTTCCATTAATACGCTATTCGATATTCACCTCGAGCTGACCTGCAATTTTCACACTTTTCGAAGTGTTAATCGCTACGAGTTGACGGGTACTGCTTCTCCGCAGTGCACAGGTGCTCAGTGAGAAGTGCACTCAAAGGCCTGACCCGCCGCGATTATGCAGATGTTAGGCAGCAATCTCTTGACAGTCCGTGCATTGATGTATTGTTAGTAGGGCTGGGCATTTTATTGATTAACCTAGCAATTAACCGGTCAATGCTCTAATCGCAATTAATGTTTTTTTTTTTAAAATCGGTTAACCGGTTAAGTCTTGACCAATATGAAAACATAAAAATTAAACGTTTCCACCACACAGGTGTGGACGAGAACACCTGTATAAAGGCAAACTTTACGTGAAATTTTGACCGATAAGTTAACTGCTAAGACAAAATTTGTAACTTAAAAAAAAAAAAAAAATATTGGAGGTTAGTGTTTCACCCACTTAAACGCTGTGCGAGTGTCCGTGTAGTGCAGCGAAGACCATTCTGAACAATCAAAGGAGTTTGCTATTCCCGGGGAATATCAATAAACCTCTTAACCTCTGTGGCTGAAGTGATCAGCTGCGAGTGTGTCTTTCGACTATTCTAAACCACACATTAAGATTAATTTAAGATCAGAAATTGTACATTGTGCTGTTTATCACGTATTCAGCAAAGGTAAAACAATTAATTTTGATATTTTTTAAAAACTATATGCATGGGATTGAATGAAACCGAGTAATTGATTAAATAATTGATAAAAGAGATTAGATTAATCGGGCTAAAAATTTTAATTGCCTCCCAGCAGTAATTGTTTGTTTGTTTTTTATTCAAAAAGTACATTTACATATAGCAGGCAGATGTATAAATCCCCTTGAATAGGATTGATGCAACGAATTTTCTGTTTATATGCCACAGTTCATCAATACAGTTACATTAAAATTAGCTGAGCTTAGAGCTGGACAAGTGGAAGGAGGGAAACAACCTTCATGAATTCAGCTAAATTTTCATTTAAGCAAGGTGCATGGTAGGGAAAGGCTTAGAGCTATTCGATCCGAAAATATTCGGTCAGAACCACTCTCCGCTTCAAAACACAAACACCCTATTCGCACATGGCTAGAAATACTGGAAACAGTACAGATTCTCTTAGAAAAGCCAACTAATGACAATAAACTTCTCACCACAACTAATAATCTTTCCCCCTCCCCCTCCCCTCCTTCCCATCCCCTCCTCTGCTAATCTGGAAACAGCTGCCTTGTCCTGCCAGTCTTAGCCTGCAATAGACTACACCAGTGGTTCGCAACCATCGATGTTTCGCGGACCCCTTGTGGATCAGCAGAAATGTTCGAGGACCCCGTTCGTGGTGAAGGGGGGGAAAACGTAAAGGTTAAATATAATAATGACTTAATAAATGAATATGAATAAGGGCTAGTGTGAAGTAGACTTCTCTTATTGACATACAAACGAGAAAACTCGCCCCAAAAGCTGAAACATTTTTTCTCAATCTGAAAAACGACAACACTTATTGCTGGGCTTTACTGATGAAGCAGGGTTTCGCGGACACCTAGAATGCATTCGAGAACCTCCAAGGGCAGAACCTCCAAGGGCACACAACATGCCGGCAACATCAGCGACCTTTTCCCACTCGGCGTTGACCGCTGCTCCGTTGAAAACTCCCCAAGACCCGCTTGCAGAGGAGGCTCCGCCTTGTTGCAGGCAGGTGACATCAACATCGAAGGTTCATAATCGAACTACAGTGGCTAGAAGGTGTAGTGTAACGAACGAAACCGGAGAAGCGGCACAGCGTTGAAAGACGGCCGCAGGTGGCGCTGGCGCTTGCAGCACCGTCGTTCCGGCTATGGCTCCGGCTTGGCCGCTTGGCCAGCTTGGCTCTGGCCGATTGGCAGCTGTCGACTACACTGTCGTCTGCTAGTTTCACATTTTTATTCACCTACGAACACAAACCATGTCATTGAAAGTTCACTGGAAAGAAATAATTGTTTTTTAGGTATTTATGCCTAAAAAACAATTATGCCTAACACAAAAAGGATGCTCATCCTTTTTATGTTATCTTCAACTTTGAGAACCAGGGACTTTCAGGGCTCGTAGCCTGCTCAACCTTCGCAGGAAATGAACGAAGAAAGTGAACGTCAAGCACCATGCGCCGCGGGGTGTTCAACATTCTTCGAGCATTATTTCCATTAATATAATTTCCGAAAAGCCTTCCCGGCTATGTTCCGGTCTTTGCGAAAAATAGCTGATAGTGTCAGGTCAGGTTATGGGAACGGAATAGACATGTTCGTTCATTTGCTTTGGTGCGGTGCAAAAAAGCAGTTCTCTTGAAAACGTGCCCCAAAACAAGCCGGAATCTGTCTGATCGTCGTGAGCCGACCATTGTCGACATTGTATATTGGATAAGCTGTGTTATTTGAGACCTTTCCCAAATCCTGTTCTGATAATGCGGCACCATGGGGTATGCACAATATATGTTGTTCGATTGACGACTTGCTGAATTTAATGTTGTCAGACAGGAATACCCGTGCAGTATGGCTACCCTGTGTGGTCAAATATTTTCTATCGTTATGACCTTTGCAGATTCACACGGATGAGTGTATGTTGCTGTAAAAAAATTAACATAAAATGAAACAGACATTCCAGTTGCGTATGTTCCATCGTGCAAAGGCTCAACAAAAATAGCTTTCATTCATTTGTTTTTCTTCCCATATAGTAAAATGCTTTCTTAAAAACCTAAAAAAAAAAAAAAGAAGAAAATGCAGCAATTTAGCCCCCACCGGCTTCCGCAAGCGCGTCTATGCAGGATGCCACAGCCCACCGACTAGAAAACCCACAACCAAGAGGAGTCGGGCAACACTAACATAACCACCGGCGTCCGGAAGCGTGTCTATGCAGGATGCCACAGCCCACCGACTAGAAAACCCACAGCCAAGAGCAGTCGGGCAACACTAACATAAACCTTCAAAACCTGTGCTGGAAATCACTTCGTTCGAGACTGCCGCTGGAAAGGCCTACCGTAGAATACCGTGCATCCGCCCGTACCACAATAAGCGCCCATTGTCAAATTTATAAAATCGGAGAAAATATGCACAGTACATTGATACGTAGAATTGATGACCGGAAAAGCGCCCATTCCCCATTTTTTCATGATTATCTCAAAATTTTGAGTGGGCGCTTGCCCGGTATTTTACGGCATACACAAACTCATCTCTGTTAGGTCACGGTGCAGTGGTGGCGCGTCGGGCGCACTTCCGGTCTGGGGCTGTGGGCGGAAGTCCCCATGAGAGACATGCATTCCTGCGTTGTTTCCAAAGGAACCTGAGAAAAACCTGCTTTCTCGTCAAAACGCCGCAACTGGGGCTTTATCAAAAGAGTCGAGAAAGGTTTGAAGATCAGTTTTCATGTGCTCGGTTCGTCCGAGAACGTGAATATGAGCCGTGAAAATGAAAAACCAGACGCCGTCGGACCACGACTGCTTGGGCGGGAAGCACTTTGGGTTGAATTCACGGATACTTGTAGTTATCAGATTTATTTGTTCTGTTCCAACATGAACGCCGGAAAACCGTCAAGTTGTACTGACCACCTGCAGAGTACGTTCAGTGCGTTTTCAAGTTCGAACGGCCGCCCGATCGTTCGAACTGCCGTCTACTCTTTCAAACGCTTCTGCTTGTCGTCTGCCCTTTTAGACGACACCGGCCCGTAGACCAAACGTTGGCCCAAACTTGCGATAAGAAGTAAGTGCAGGCCTCAAAAGACTTAAGCTTGAAGGTTGGTAAGCAGGCTGGATGTAAATAGTAGATACACGGTGATGTTGATCATTGTTACCAGTGGCCATCACCAACTGATTTACCTGGTCCGATTCTGCTTGTGATTTTCAGTATCGACGTTGACCATCTCAGCTACAGCTTATGCTTTTGCAGTCCAAGCGACGTTGCGACTGAAAATTGCAAGCAAAATTTTATTATGTGAATCAGGCTTTAGAATACATTCTGCAGCGTCCACGCAGAATGAATTGCCGCATGTCACATTATTCACGCGAAGTTTTGCGGTATAACGAGCCTCGGTAATTTTGCTGAGGCCGCCTAGGTAGTCAGGCATTGCCAAGAAGACATAGAATCAATAATTCAAACGTGAAAAAGGGCAGGGGGACTTAGACCGACGCCGAAAACATCGAATTTCAATGGCTTGTTTATGGGCGACGGTGAGTTTCTTGCCCATACTCCATCGCACACGCGCAGCACGGGTGGTGTCCGCTAGGGGCGCTTCGGTTTGTTTGTAAACACGGGTTGGTGTATAGACGTTTGCAAGCAGCTACGCTTCGACAGCTAGTCTGGCCACCATGGATGGAAAACACTTTGAAAGACAGTCTGGAAATCGTGGGTACGCCTTAGCATGGCTAGGTGGCACAAGCTACCACCTGGTATAAAGGGTACAGCCATTAGCATCTGTCCATGCTCGACTATCAGACAATCTACCCACACCAGCAGTAAGCTGGCGGCGCCCAGAGGTCGTACTTGCAAAACATCTATACTCTGTATCAGCCATTTTGGGCAATGTTGTCAAGGCCAGTGAAGCTTCCAAAATGCAGCAGATCTTCACAGCTACAAAAGAATGTGGCTTCCTCTCGCATCTCACTTGCATGTAGAACATTGTTTGACAGAACAGACCTCACAAAAACTCGAAGCGATCTTAGCTGCGTAGTGCCGCACAAAGCATTTTGGGATCCCATTGGCAGCAGTTTCGGTTTTCCAATCTTTCTCCATGACATCCCGTCACGGCCAAAGACAGTGCTTCTATTTTCAAATAGGCATGCTACTTTCCTTGAATTTATATTACCGTGGCTCTTGCCTACCAATACAGATAGAATGCTGGAGCACAATATCTGCATGGGGACTCTGAATGTGCCAAAGTTTGTGCGCAGGTAAACATGGAACTACGATAGCAGATGGAAGAAGTGTAGTGGGCCGATAGTCCTATTCCATTGTCTCCCTAATGTCAAAAGCTTCTTGAATGATCTGCAAGTACCTGCTTACGGATCGTGTAAGAAGCTTTAATGTTCCACGTTTACTTTAGAGTGTGGCACGACCACACCTGTGGTCGTGCCGCACTAAGTGGCAGCCAGGCCGCCTGAAAGGTACTGGACGCAGCCGCTGTACTTCACTCCTCGCTACGTCTTTGCAGGTTCTTACGGCCGCTGGATATCCGTGTTTCAAAAACAACTCTCACGAATATGAATGGGTGGAATGCAAGTGAGTGCCGACTTCATTTTCGTGGACTGCCGAGATTCATCACTTCATCGACAAGGAAATCGAAACAGAAGCCACGCCACTCCTTTCCTTGAGCAAGGAGGTCCCATAATGCAACACATGCAGGGCTGCGTGCAGGGATATTTGGGAGTAGTTTATTACAAATTGTTTCACGATGGTTCCTCCTTTTCTCTCATTAGCTGTCTAGCATTTATAACATGGAAACAACAGCCAGGAACAAGAACACGAAGCAATAAAATACTGCAAGTACCCAAACACCGGAGAAAGTGATGTCTCAAAGCAGGTGCCGTATAAATGCACGATTCCGAGAGCCAGAGTTGCGACGAAAAGGGAGTGAGTGCGGGAGTGTTAGTTCCAAGTCCTCTACACCTTTAATAAATGTAGACCTCAAGAGACATTACGCAATATCGAAAATGGGTACAATGTCGAGTTATAGCAAAACCTGCTCGGCAGTGCAAGAATAGACCAGATGCAAATTGCTTGTTCTGACAACACTGCGAGCATCACCATTTTACTGTTGCAAGCGTGGTCGGTACCAAAGCATGGTGGAGGTATCGGAGACAACAGTACGGGCAGTGTCCGATGTCGGGGCAGCCATGTTTTCTGCCTTACGACCATAAAATGTGGATGAACAGTTTAAACAGCCTCCTGCAACTGTGTGACGAAACTCTCGGAGACACCTCCAAGCCAACGATTCGTCCGCGGCTATGCACATACTGAACAAAAAGGCCACGGTTTACGTATCTTGAATTGCAGACGTTCGTAAGTACCGAAAAAGGCAGTGTGTAAGCTTCCTCCCCTGGCTTTCACAGCAAAGGCACAGCACTAGCTCTGCTGCTCCGACAAGGTTGTCACGAGCGTGCAGAGGCCTCCGAGAATTACATCAGACAGTTGCGGTAGGTTGTTTAAACTGTTCGTTTACATTCCTCGGTTGCAAGCCGGAAAACACAGCTGCCGTGCCCTCGCACACTGGCAGTAGTGTTGTCTCCGATGCCTCCATCGTGCTTCTGTATTGACGACGCTTGCCAACATTAAAATGGTAACGCTCTCGTGTTGTCAGACCACCAAGAAATTCCGCATAAGGTCTATTCAACGAGCGACATTCCAATTGGCAGCAGAAAGCACTGTGGGGCATCACACACTCGGATATGGGTCCCCCATCGAGGTAAATGCCACGAAAATGCCTTCGCATGGTACAGGACACCAAAACAAAAAATTTCTGAAAAGTTCCTTCACACTTACTTCAGTACTCAAAGCAGCAAAGATGGAAGAAACAACAGTGTCAGAATTGAAACTGCCAGCCTTTTATTTATTTGTACAGCAACTGAATTTTACCTTTTTTTAATCATGTTTCCTTTCTCAAGGTCTTTTTTTTTTCTCACACAGACAGAAGCTCTATCAAAAAAGAAAACAATAAAGAAATTCTTACAAACATATTGGACCTCGCCTCAAAGCCGTACACCTTGAGCGAGTGCAAGGGAAATCGGAACAAGAGATAAAGCACGACCCAATGTGCATTCAGATGCAGAACATAGAGTATACTGCTCCAAAAAAAAAGTTTCCCATTAAAATGCCTAGCCTCTAAATTGCAGCTGGCAAGGAATCATTCCCTACTCCCTAATACATTTGTGTGATGACAAAGGGTGGCATTTAGACAAAAGACTCGGGAGCAATATACCAGATAGTCTGGCTCTGTGTGCACAATCTCTGTGGACCAACACACTGGAATTCAAACTGAACCATCTCAGATATTGCTGGCATTTGAAAGGGCTATTTGCTGCCAGTGTTTTTATGAAAATGCCTTTAGGCTTTTACAGCCCCATCTGTTGGCACGTGCCTGAAGAGGGGAGACCTTGAATTAGATGAAAATGAAGTAGGATGCTGCTCGCCTTAGTGAGGCTTATTGCGCATAAGTGCTTGAGTGTTGTGAGCTTAACTATTAATCTGAGCAATGCCTTTAAATTTCTCTTGCACTCAGGTATATGTACATTTAAATGAAAATGGCACACAATTCTGCATGAGTAAAATTGTTACACACGTTATAAAGCATGGCAGGCTCAAGTTACAGGTCAACTGCAAGGCATTCAGCATGTCTGCAACTGTAAGGTATTTGGAAGCTGTTTGAAAATGGCAGGCCAGATAAAAATTCTGAGAAAAGGATTGGGGGCAAAGCTTGCACTTAAATGGCTATTCACCAGTGTGTGTTTGATTATGGTTTCTCAGATCTGAATTCAGAGCAAAGGCTTTTCGGCAAAGCTTGCACTTAGATGGCCTTTCACTAGTGTATTTGGTTATGCATTCTCAGATTTGAATTCCAAGCAAGGTTTTGAGCAAAGCTTGCACAAATGGCTTTTCACCAGTGTGTATTTTATTATGCTTTCCCAGATGTGCATTATGACCAAAGGCTTTTGGGCAAAGCTTGCACTTAAATGGCGTTTCACCAGTGTGTCTTTGGATGTGTATTCTCACAAATGAATTCCTAGCAAAGGCCTTTGGGCAAAGCTTGCACTTATACGACTTCTCACCAGTGTGTGTTGAGTTATGCTTTTTCAGAGATGAATTTAGACCATATGATTTTGGGCAAAGCTTGCACTTAAATGGCTTTTCATCAGTGTGTGTGCGATTATGGGCTTTCAGATCTGCATTCTGAGCAAAAGCTTGTGAGCAAAGCTTGCAGTTAAATGACTTTTCACCAGTGTGTGTTTGGTTATGCATTCTCAGATCTGAATTCTGAGAAAAGGCTTTTGGACAAAGTTTGCACTTAAATGGCTTTTCGCCAGTGTGTTTTGTTATGCCTTCTCAGACCTGAATTCCGAGCAAAGGCTTTTGGACAGAGCTTGCACTTAAATGGCTTTTCACCAGTGTGTGTTCGGTTATGCATTCTCAGATTTGAATTCTGAGCAAAGGCTTTTGGACAAATTTTGCACTTAAATGGTTTTTCACCAGTGTGTGTTTTGTTATGCCTTTTCAGATTTGAATTCTGAGCATAGGCTTTTAGACACAGCTTGCACTTAAATGGCTTTTCACCAGTGTGTGTTCTGTTATGCCTTCTCAGATCTGAATTCCGAGCAAAGGCTTTTGGACAAAGCTTGCACTTAAATGGATATTCACCGGTGTGTATTCGGTTATGCTTTCTCAGATATGAATTCAGAGCAAAGGCTTTTGGGCAAAGCTTGCACTTAAATGTCCTTTTACGAATGTGTGTTTGGGTATGTATTCTCAGATAAAAATTCAGAGCAAAAGCTTGAGGGCACAGTTTACACTTATATGACTTCTCACCTGTGTGTGTTTGATTATGCCTGGTCAGTCGGAACTTGTTAACAAAGGCTTGCGGACACAGTTTGCACTTAACCTTATTGCGTTTGTGCTTTTGAGTGTTGCTTGGCACTTTGAACATAGAGCCAGAGGACACGGGGGGATGCTGGCTCTTGCATTGTTCATCACCATGGTCAACCAGGTGGCTCACAATTTCATGCTGATCTCTGGTGACATAGGAGCAGGAACAACACCTGAACGAAATGTCCTCGGTGACTTTCAATGGGCTGTCGGTTTTCCCCAACGATGCAGCTCCATCACCTACAAGAAAAAACCTTGTGTACTAGCACAAACAAGAAATGCCCAACCAAGATAGCCGCTTAGTTTAGAAAAGAGTAGCCACTAATGCAGTCTTGCTGAAGCTATGCTGTATATGCTGCTGCCCTTTTGAATTCAGTTCACGGAAGCGCTCAAACAGAACTGACAATTAATACAGGGGAGTTTCTGGTCTTTAAAAGTGAAAATGGTAAGAAAAAAAGATTTTTAAGCCTTCTTATATTTTTATCTCTAAATCATGTCTTACGTATCTTCCTTTACTATGGTCACAATGTGCACAATTATTTAGTTATGTCTACCGCCAAGCCCAGTTATAACACACTTAGGAATTTCAAATTGTTTATAACAAACAGTCAAAACATCCCTTTGAAAATTACACGTATTACTACAGGAGTTTTGTCTTTTTGCATTGAACTCTCATGGCGCGACACATTGATATAGCGAATAAAGCGTTCCAGGCCGCCCATTGCTTTTCCCGCGATCCGATTGCGCCGGTGGCGAGCACATCACTTGCTTTGTGGGGTTGGCAGACCGCCAAGCCAGCATACATGCGGTAAGATACCCAGCGAAAGAACAGTTGCGGAAAAAGAAAAACAATGAACTGTAAAAAAAAAAGGGGAGGATGTCAAAAATAATGAAAAGAGTATGCATGCGTGCATGGGAAGAGCAGAGAGTGCCCGCTGTCAGAACGGTAACCTGCACCCTTTCCCCGAACACTGCTGATGCTGGGCGACACCCTAGCCCCAAAATAAAATGAGCAAAAACAAAAAGTCTTCGGCAAGTCAAGTGTGTCAACAACAACAGCTGTTCAATCACACTTCCAACGCCTTATCTTTGTTTACCTTTTTCTTTTGCCGTTATTGCTTTGCCCATGAATTTAGTGAGCTTTCTTTTTTGATGCTTGCTTAAATTTTTTGTTTTTATGCATCCTGCTTTTCCGTTTTTCTTTTATTTATTTTATTATTTTTGTGCTTGTCACTCTGTGTGGAGGTCCGGGTCAGGTGCGCGTGTAAGCGCGGCGATGCAAGTGATCTCTGCCAACTATGCTCTACTGTATTTAGAAGCTCTTGAATGCTCTATTGTAAGCTTCTGTTTGCTGCGACCTTCGGTATTAGCAGAGACGTTAGGAAATTTCAACTCGAGCTTAATTTAAAGAAAAAAGTGGGTTCTCAAAAAATATGTTTTCTTGTTTATTGGTCTCACTCAGTGCTTTTCTGCACAGGCATGCAGTTTACTAAGCTGATTTCATAACTGCAATCACATTTTAGCTATCTCTTCTTTGTTAAGTTATCAGCATAATAAAATATTATTAGCTAATTTCAGGATGGGTTTTAAAAACTATCTTATTAAAATTTAAATAAAAAAGTATCAATTACTTCCTAAAGAAATGCCATACAAGCTAAAGCTATTTTAATTTCTTTAGCACCATATAATCATGTAAAAAAAAATCAAAGTGAACGGAAGACATATAATAGAGGCTATAAGAATGTCTAATAATGAAATGCCAGTTCAATATATTAGGCTTAACTCAGTTGCGAGTTCCGCTACCAAAAGCTTGGGTTCCCTTCGCCGAAATTTCAGATACACTCCTTCTCAACTAAAACGGCTCCTCTATCTTGCCCTAGTCCGGTCTAAATTAGAGTATGCGTCTTCAATCTGGCACCCTCATCATGCTACACTAACAGACTACATTGAACCTGTTCAAAACAGTGCTGCACACATTAATCACTCCGATAACTCCAGTTTTTCCAGTGGCTCCCTCATTAAATAATACTCTCACTTATTGGTCTTCACACGTCAAAAAATATTCCGTCTCTGCCTTCTGCAAAAAGTTTTTTATTTGCCACTTCTAGATCAGTCTCTTCTTTCCCCACCAGCTTATCTTTCCTCCAGACTCGATCATTGCAATAAGCTAGATAGCTTGGCCACAGTGTTTTTCCACAGCACATCAGCACGCCCGTTTTCCTGATGCAATTGTGGACTGGAATGACTTTTTCGAAGACATCGTCAGCGTCCAGGACCCCATCAGATACCGAGAAGCAATATCCAACATTGTACTTAACACCCACTCCCCTTAACAATGCCTTATGGCCCTGAGGGTATTCTAAACAAATAAATAAATACACCAAAAATATAATAAAAATAGCATTAACTTGCAGTCTAGTTCATTCCAAAAAAAAATAGTACCAAGTTGATGAAAAGAGGTTGAGACCAAGTGAATCAGAAAGTCTCCCTGGCCGGAGAATATGCTGAAAGAAACAAAGCTAAGAAAATAGACTTCGAAATTTATGTATGCATAAGTAACAATGATGAAGCTTTAGATCGGTGGAATGCCTTTGGTTTGAATTTGATACGAAAGGAGAGACACGGGCAGGGAAAGCAGCCCCATATGCAACAACTGGTTAGCCTTGAGGGCATTTTAGTTTTTTTTCTCTAGGCATCGGCGAAGCAGTCGAACACAAACTTGATTCAGTCGCGACCACCAGCGGTAGGGCAATTTGTGCATCGGCAAAGTGGAAGGTTTTCGTTGATGCGGAGGTCTTCTTGTTCCAGGCGCATCTCCTCTTTCTGTTTAGTCTCTGCGTGTTGACTTTCAAACTGGTGCCCCAGCCATCGAAACTCGAAGCGTGCAGAACCAAACTAAGCACGACAATGCAGGAGCGCAAATATATGCTAAAAAGGAAAGCTAAACAAAGAGGAGGTATCTAAATATTTACACGAATGATGCGAAGACAAGGAACATACGAAACACTAGGAAGCACAAAGAAAACACTGAAAAAATTTATATAAAAAGTGGAGAAATGCAAAAGTAATGTGCGTCTCGAACAGCGAAGCGAGCGAAAGACAACGCGGGAGCACGCAGAGCAACTGGGACGCCGCGCTGGGGAACCCAGGAGAGGAGGCGCGCGGTTTGGCCAATGAGAGAGCTGCACCTCAGAGGAGCGCGCACTTTGCCCAATTAGTGCATTTCTAGCGCTGGTGACTGTCTTTCGTACGGCATCAATGACGGTGTGGCCTTGAGGGGTATGCCGCTTTCGAGCACGGAAAAAATAAGCGTGGGAAACCAGCTTTCGAACAAGACCAAGATGGCTGCAATCGGTTGAGGCATTGCTGAGCTCAGACAGCTTGAAATTTGTTCAAATTTTAGAGTCTAGGCTTCAAGACGGGTTCGTCAACGCTCACAAATTGTCATTATTTTCCTTTTTAGAGATTGAATTGAGCATTATACTTTGCGAGGACAAACTCTACCCTATCACTATACAGACCTTACAATCATGAATTTTGAAAAATGACATTTTTTGTGATTTTTTGATATTTTAAGATTTGCATCGCCCTTAACATATTTTTATATATCAAATTATTGTTATATCAAACTATTTTACGATCCCCTTTGAATTCGATACATCCGGGTTCGACTGTATAAAAAGTTTAGTATCCATGGTGCTTAGAAGCCTATTTTGAAAAGTTCTTTCTGTTTTCTAAAGATTATTTTTTTTTGCTGACAACAAAATGTTTTTCTGACGGCATTTCTGAATCTAGAATCTGGATCTGAATACTAGGCTGGATACCTTGTTGACCGAAGTGTGAAAGAAGAAAAAGATTTCAAGAGATTGTTAGATATGATGTTTTCTAATTGGCAACTTCCTCATAGTTATCAATGAAAGAATTTCAGCATGTGATGCAGTCATACCTTGCGAACATAGATACCCGCTATACAGGCAAAATTGGGGGACCGATCCCTCCCCATGCAACTCTGTCTCATTAATGCAGAAATCCGTAGTCTGGACTATGGACACATAGTTTTGGGAACGAATTGGGTAAATACATGCTGAGAGTTTCACTACTGTCCACTGTCGGTTGCCTTTCCTTCAAAAAGAGATAAGATTTGGGCACCGAACAATGGTTTAATTTTTCGGGGCTTTCCAGTCAAATGGGTCACCTGCCCTTATGCGTCATGGCCATTGATGAAAAACCTGAAGAACATTCACATGTCATTTGTGTGTACACTATGCAGTAGTAAAAAATGCCGTATAAATAACCTAATGAACGCAGTGCAGGGAAACTTATCACAAAGATGTAAAATTTTGTGAGTGTGGGTTTCACGCTGCTATTCACATATGGTGCAACAGACCTCGCGCCTATAACCGATCGATGTCACCAGTGGCAAAGCCAGGGGGCATGTTCAAGGGTTGAAACATTCCTTAAAATTTCAACGTTTCTCTTTCCCCCTTTCCCATTCCTTTGTCATTTGTTTTTTGTGCGTGTGTGTGCTTAATGCGTTTCGTTGTTTTGTCAAGGCAATAAAATTCATGTGTTTCTCTTTCTATTCGACAACCCACTTTGGCAAGGGGCCAGGCTCACAACATTCCAAAGCAAAACGAAGATGACGACATTGTCCGTGGACTGCGTGAAAATGCCAGTCCGGCTACGGCTCTCCGAAGAGCTCTCATCAAACTCGGCCGTGTAATCGAAGCCTTTCTTCAGGCTCGCAGGTGCGAATAGCTCAGCACCCGACGTCGCAAAGCCGCGAAATCCTGACCTTGAAGGGCGCTGGACTCGCCTCAGAAAATGCAGGCGGCCTGACTAAAGTTCCCCAACCCTTTGAGTCTGAAGAACCCTACGACAATTTCAGGGCAGCAAACCCTTCAATGAAAACAGGACGATAAAATGACAGACAGGTTAACGTTTTTTTTCTTTCCTGTTTTCATCCCGTCTTCCCTTTTTTAGAGTTTACTAGCCTGCACTTCTTTATTTTAATTAATACACCAACCAAAATGTGAAGGAAAAAACATCCCCTTAATAAAAAACAAAACAAAAAAGAAGCGAGAGAGAAAAGTGGCAGCATATGCCCCAAGGAAGCAACTTTGGAATGCTCATTGTTACTTGGTTTCAAAGCGTACCTGTTGACTTCTTTAATCGGTGCAGTGGGTATAGTTTATAATCTTCAGTTCAGCAAGTGAGTCGTGAAAGCAATGAGTTCAATAGCGAAGCTGTCGATTGATGCTTCTTTCAAGAATGATTATTGACCTACAACTTCAAGCGTGTCATCAAGGTCTCCAACAGAGTCGGCACATTCACATGTGGCAGAATCGTCCTCCCTAGGCAAGAGCGATGTTGTGTCCAACGACGTCGGTGTCTGTCACAAGCCTCGACTTCCAGCAAATCTCCAGCTTGTGCGGAGCATTCGTTTCGTTAAATAAACTGCCTGGCGAAACTTCTGGTTTGGACAGAGATGAGGAAGGGCCGCATCGCTTAGCGTGTCTCAGCGGTACAGGCAACTTGCCTTTGCCCGGAGGCCTTGTATCCTAATGTAAACCTTCTGCTGCGAATCCTGACCACCATGCCAATTAGCACCGCTAAAACGGAATGTTCAATCTCCAGACTCGGAAGACTCAAGTCATACCTGGCAGCTTCAACGTCCCAGGAGCACTTGCTATGGTTTGCACTTCTGAACCACTAGAACATCCAAGTCTGCCCCAAAAAGTGTCCTCTCGCTTCTTTCTATTGACCAACGGCGGCTTCCACTAAACGTTTAGACCCCACAAAATGATACTGGTATGTATCTCTGTGCCTTTCTTGTAAAACGACATTGAAGAACGGAAAAGACTCAAAGCATGACCATGCACAGCACAATCATTTCTAAAAAATGTGATCCGCGCAGAAACAATGAGCGTAACACTTCACTTGCTCATTGCCTCAGTGTGCACTGCAGTTTCTATGTTTATTCATATTCTAAACTTCACTATTCTTTGGCGCTCTTCTGTAGTTTTTAGTCATAAGATACCCGACTGTTCCGCAGAGAAGTGTATGCACCGCAATATTTTGTGGGCCTGTCTGGACTTTTTTGTTCAAAGCCCCTTATTATATTTTATGATTGTGTGTTTTCGTTGTTCACCATTAAAGTTCCCCTCTTTAAAGATTGAACGAGCGAGATGTGGCAAAAAAGATTGAATTCTTGTTTTCTAAGAAACAGGAAAATAGTAACTAATAGTGTGCTTGAGCAATTTCTTTTCCTCTCTTTTTTTTAAAATTTCTATCGGTTTGAGCAAAAACAAATGAAAGCCGTTTACAACTCCCTGTAACGCCGAATTACGAGTGCAACTCTTGAGGAGGAGGAGGGGAAGGTATGGAGAGGAGGGTATGCCCCTCCTCCTCTCCTGCTCGCCTCGCATAAAGGGGAAGATTTTCTGCTAAATTTAGCGGGGAACTTTTTCCGCTAAATATAGCTGGGAGTTTTTTCCGCTAAAATTAGAGGGGAAATTTTTTCCGTTCAATTTAGCGGGAAAATGTTCCGCTAAACTTAGCAGAGAATTTTTTTTTTTTTGCTAAATTTAGCGGGGAAATTTTTCTGCTAAATTTAGCGGAAAAATTTTTTCCAAAACAAAATTTTTGTTTTGCAAAAAACAAAAATACTACCAAAGCCTTTTAAACACAGTATCTTAAGATGAGTATATGAGATAGGCACAAGCCTCAGTAAAACAAACTAACCGTACTGCACCGTAACCTCAAACTTGCTACACCCTCCATAAAACAACTACCCAGCGCGATGGATGCTACGAGCTATACGAGTCAATGCACAGATTGTAGCTTGCCTCGTGACCATTGCAGTCCCCACGCCGTTCCGCCCAACCGGGAGGGCACGTGACACCCTCCGAGCTGTGAATTGGTTCCGGTGGCTCTAAGCGTTGCTTGCAGTCCATCAAAACGTGAAACAAAGTATTGAACTGTAGCCTTTACGCCGACGCCAATTCATGCTGCACATAGACGTGCACAATACACTTATTTGATCTACTGTAATGAAGCTGTCTCCATGTCGTCGCTGCCGTTTGTTTATTCCTCCTCGAAGGAGCGTGAGCCAATGAGACTATCAAGCCGTTCATCACCCTCAGTGCAATGATGCTGTAGCAACTTTCCATGCGCCAACGAATTGCGCCATCAGCTTGTAGGCCCCAAATAAAAACCGACACAGCTCGCATAAGAACCGAGCCCATTCTATTCCTACCCCATTACGGGCAAAAGGCACATAATTCCATTCCATTCCCCTCTCCCCTCCCCTCCCCTCTCCTCCCCTCCCCCCCCCCCTCCCTCCCTCCCTCCCTCCCTCTCTCTCTCTCTCTCCCTCTCCCTCCCCCCCCCCCCCCCCCTGTGCTGCCGCCATTCCATTCTCATTATGAGAGAGGTTGAGATGAACAACTTACCACGATTTGAGGACTGGATCGGTTCCATTCGAATTGCTGTTAGCAGTCAGGTTCGCAGGTAGGCTCGTAAGATCACGAAGGCTGCACGGGACCATTTGAGATGCCTAGGACCAAATGCAAAGGGTAATGACATGAATTAAGAAGAAAGTGAACACACCCTCTAAGCATATCAAACTAGCCAGACAACTATAAAGATAACACAAATGGAACACACCCAGAACTTTGTTACCTTATCCAAACAAGCAAACGAGTAACACGGTAAAATCATGGCAAGCTTTACGAGGAAGACGCCGCTCATAATAACTGCTTTGAATCTTTTTTTCCCCGAACCATTAACGAATGGAACCACCTGCCTCAAAATGTTGTTCATTCCTCTTCTATTGAAATCTTCCTCGATTACAAAGATGCCCCCATTTCATCATAAACTAATATTTTATGCTGTTTTTAAAAGTGCAATGTATCTATTGTATTCAAGTTATTCACTAATTTTTCATTCTTGACTTCTATATTTGCTTTGAATATTGACATGCAAATTGTGTGTTGAATATTTTTTTCTGCTTGTAATATTCCAAACTGTACCACCCCATGACAACCCCGAATGGAGTTAGTAGTATTGGAAATAAATAAAAAAATGACCACATCTTCACGTGGTGAATGATGTTGATTGGGGCGAAGCTCTGGTGGTGCTGATGATACTGATTTTATCGTTCATATGTAGCGCTGATGGTGCCGATATTTTTTAATTGCTCATAGATAGTGCTGAGTTCCGGGCTGCGCTTCAACTTCATTATTACTGCTTTATGGTCAATGAAATGCAGAGCCAGTGGTCCTTCTAGCGGATCAGCTTGGATCCGCTAGAAGCCCTGGGAACACATCTCCACCGCTTAAGTCAACGGTCCACGTCAGAAAGAGAATGTGTGGTATGGGACGTGGTTATATATGCATTTGAGCATTTGACCACAGCGCCGTCTCGTCTATAAACGTTGAGCCAATGCATGCAAAGGTTAACGCGATTATATACGCATTTGACCGCAGCGCCCTCTCCTGTATAGACGCTGAGCGGCTACATGCAACGTTTCATCCATGACAGAAACCCCAGCTCTTGAGTTACTACCCCATCTCGAAGCCCCCTACTCGTCCCGCAGTCGTGACCTAGTGATTAAGGCTATGGACTAGAAATCCATTAGGGTCTCCCCGCACATGTTCAAACCTGTCGACTACGCAAACATTTTTTCTTTTTATGTGAGCACGGACACCATCCGGACGGACGGACAGACAGACAAGGCTAGACCCTAAGGAGCCTCACCCCTAGTAAAATAAAACTTGCAAGATAACAATGACGAATGAATGTGGAAACGAAATGCTCGTGTTGTGCATTTTGTGCACAACACGAGAAGGAGACAAGCTTGTCTCCTTCTCAAGCAGAGGTTTCCGTGACGTCAGAACGCCGAGCTCTGGTTGGCTCCGATAGGAAGGAAGGTGGGTAGACCTCAAAGCAGCCAGCATTGAGGACTACCCCCTATCCCTCCATCAGAGCCAATCAGAACTTGGCATTCTTACAACAGTGTAACCCCTGTGCTAGAAGCAGACAAACTTGCGCTCCACATTGGCGGTAGCTTGCGACATGAAGTTAGCAAGTGTGCTAACATAATCAGTTTTCTTCTCTTTCTCTGCCACATTGCCAGTACAATAAAGCCCAATCAATAAAGTGGTTAAGACTCAAACAAGATGAAATATGAGATAAATATGCACTGGAACGCATCTGTTTTCCCCATAATTTTGCTAAATTTGTTTTGTAAAAAGCGGTTTAGTTTTGTGGATATATTTGAATGGACAGTGGGACCTTCGCTTCTACCCATACAAGAAGGCTGCCATGTACCTCTTTACACGTAACATTTCAAACGTTGCTAAACAACACACATTCAGATGCCGGCCGTTTCTGAGGAGACTTTCAAAAATCCCTTCAAATAGAGTGGTTGAGAAAATACACTAATTAGCGAGATAATTACCTAAAATATACTATCAAACTTTAAATAATGAAAATGAACACATAGTTTCATATGTTTTTATGAAACCAACCCGTGGCTGGCAGTTTGTTCTCAAAAGGAGTTTTTTTCAATATCTCAACGACACTATTTGAAAGGATTTTTCAAAGTATTTGCAGAAACAACCGGTATGGTCTGCAATAGAGCGATAAACATTGGAGGAAGCTGAATCCGCATCACTGCACCAGGTCTCACTCCAGCAGGGGAGATGAGGGACGATGCAGCGCACTCGTAAGCACTGAAGAAATGGCCCGATTGTTGCAGCTACTGACTGTGGAATTACACATCACTCGCACGTGACATCATGTACCCTGCTCGCAATCCGCCTGCTTGAACTTGCCGAGAAGAACAAATTTGGTTGTGGGAAATGAGTACTGCAGAAGGTATGGGCTCAGCAGCAAGGCTATTCGCTATTTGGGCATAAAAAATTCGTTGAGGCTCGTTACTAGTGGCCCAAAAGTACTTTGCAAGATTATTTTGCTATAGCTATTTCTTCAACTTTTTTTGCCACCTTAAATTTTGGGGAAAACAGGCGAAGGTCCTGTGGTCAAATTCAAAAGACTTAAAGCATATGTGCGCAGCTGCAAATATTTTTCTTTTTACCCCACAAGGTAAAAAGCAATTTTTTTTTTTTCCGAAAGGTTTGAAACGACATTGTGAAATAAACACTGTTTGTAGTACGTCACTATAATCTTCTAAATCATCCAATTGGTCTTGCCATGCATTCCCCAGTGTTTTTGAAGGGTGCACATGCATTAAAAATGTTTTAAAAACCTGAAAATCACCTTTTATTTTCAAAAACACTACCATATTAATACTTAAACCTTATGTATCTTAGTGAGTAGGAAACTAGGTACGAATATATAAAACATATTTTAATAAAAAAAATAACATGGGACCATCTTTCCTAAAATAAACTGAAAATATTGAACATACAACAAAATACCCAGTTTGAAAACTATAAAGCTTATAAATGTAATATGTCTAGAAATATTTCTGTAGACGACCAACTGGGGCGATGACTTAATTTTCGCGACTTGAATAATATCGCGAAAAATAAAAACCTTTTAATATGTTTCTTATGGTAACAAGCACAAAACATACCCCCTTATCACAAAAATTGCTGCCCGCCATACATTCTTGAAATCGACATTTTGCCGAATTCACGAAATATTAGCCAACAAAAACAAAGTCCTCTACAGTACTCAACGGTTGTAAAAAGTCTCGAGCTCACATAACAAGCAAACTTTAAAAACAAAAAAAAAAGGCTATAGCCGACTATAGGCGCAGTGGGTTGCATCGGGCCAAAGTCAAAACAAATATTTTTCTCACTTTTGAAAAAATATTTCCTTTAAACTTTGTTTATTGGTGCTTCAGTTGCAAAGTATAAGACCAAACACCGTTTGCTTCTCGCTTTGAAAACTGGGTAGTATATTGCAATATTTTAAATACTGGCAATAGACCAAATTATAAATTTATTTTTTGCGGTTAAAAAATAATCCTGATTTTTACCTTCGTTCATGCATTGCATTAATTCTAGACCATCTATAACCAATAAGAATAGGGACCTCTAGCAAACGGTTACCGTGTTCCGCGTACTGCACTACCGGAGCCCGATAGTGCAGTAAGCGAAGAGTTTCCAAAGTTCTTCTGCAAAGCTTGGCACCGGCATTTGAAGACATTTGTCGGCAGCAGATTTAACTCGGCGGGCCCGGTCATGAAGCCGTCTGCAAATGCCTCGGCAGAAAACCCAAAAAAGGTTTTTACCTTTTATTTTCTAAACAAGGTAAGCTAATCTGTTCATATTTTCACTCCATGCCTTCACCGCGTGGTTGCACCACAGCAGTAAATTGTGGTGCGATACGTTGAAAAACCGATTTTTGAAGGCCGTCTAAAGTGCCTTAGAAGCGTTAGGCCTGGTTCAGACATGGCAATTTTCCCGGCGATTTCGGTGTTGCTGGCAAGTTGTTCCCTAGCTTTATCTAGTACGACACAAATTGCTCGGATCGCATCTGGCTCGAAACGGACAAGCAACTCGGACAACTCTGAGACGTTTGAAGCGGTAGCAGCCAATCAGGGACGCAATATTCTCATGCGACACACCATGTCAGCGAAAAGTTGGTTCTGGTTTGAAATTGATCGTTTTTGGGGATAAACCATTTCAGAAAAATGTGTAAGTATTGCCGATACCATTCAAAGGTATATAAACATGTTTCTAGCATGTAACTGTCTGTCTAAAAAATGCAAGAAAAATCAAATTTAATGATGATGATGGCATACTGAAGCAATTGGTTGCTCCGTGTAAACACAAGCGGGCCAGTATTGCTGGTGCCGCAACGTTAAGTGTCTGGGAGAAATAGAGCTTTTTGGAATATCCCAGGAGACCTTGCAACGAGGGGAATTGTGGGGCTGTTTGGATATTTTGCGGTATGTTTCATTCTTTCGGATTATTAGGAGCTCAGAACACACAAAAAAAATTAAGCGATCAGAAAAGAAGGGTATCACAGACTTTGTTTTGATTTCTTTCTGCCTTCTGAAATCACAAACAGTTGAACCAACATCACTTTGTCTTCGCTTCTTAGATAATTTCATGTGCCATACATCTGGACGTCTGCGTAAAGGAGACAGTGGGGGCACCACATATTTCCGGAAAGGTCTATTGTCCCGTCTGAATAGGGCCCTAGTGCACATGCAGTATATGCACACAAAAAGAAAAATTGTGGTCCAATGGCACAAGTAACGTCATTACACAACAAGATGGCGTTACTTGTGCCAAAATCGGCGGTCGGCTCAGAGCAAGTCACAGTGACGAGGGGTCTTCGACAGGGATGCCCTCTCTCCCCGCTTCTTTATATTCTGTGTCAGGGTTGGAGGAACGCCTGATCCAGTCGGAGGTGGGTTTTTCACTGACACACATGGAAGGAGGCGCAGAGGTGAAGTGGATGTTACCGGGCCTCACCTATGCGGACGATACTGTATTGACAGCGGAGACGGTGGAGGACCTGCAGCGTCTAATATGTACATGTGAGACGGAGGTGGCTACGTTGGGCCTTTGGTTCAACGTCAAAAAGTCGGCAGTCCTTCAATCAGCCGGGTGCAATGAGACTAAATTAAACAGTCTGGTGCTGAACGGCGAGCAAGCACAGGTACAGGAGTCGTACAAATACCACTGACCAACAAGCCAGAGTACATGTCCGATCATTATGCCCCCCCTCCGACAGGCAGCCGTGCAAGGTACGAATGTACTCCGAAAACGTGATCTTTGGAGTTGCAATCGTTTTCTGGTGACTCGCGAACTCTGGAAGGCGGTTGTGGTGCCTGGACAAACCTTCGCCAATGTGGTTCTTTGTGTCCCTGGCACAGTGCGGGAAGTCATGGAACGTCGTCAACGAGAGGTCGGGAGGCAGGCTCTGGGCTGTCACGGAATGGTGGCCACCGAAGCAGTCCAGGGAGGTCTTGGACGGTCATCGTTTGAGGCCAGGGAGGCGACCAGTAAGATAACCTACGACAGCCGTCTCCGTCTCATGGACCGCAGCCGGTGGACCAAGAGACTCTTCGTCTACACGCATCTCACGGGAATGCAGACTGGCTGGAGGAAGCTGTTGTATCAGAGAAGAAATATGGCTTTTTTTTCAACCCCTTTAACTATCACATCAGAAGGGAAGTGGGAAATGGAGATACGAAACAGGGAGAGAGAGGAGGAGGCAGCTCGGTGGGCAGAAACGGCAAAGTCCAAGTTGACGCTATATATGTACCATCGATATAAGCACGAAATTTCGGCAGAGACTAGACTATACGACAACAGCCCGGGCAGCCGGCTCCTCTTTGAGTCACGCGCAGGAGGGCTGCGAACGCAAGTGTATCGCCGTCGCTTCCACCAGACGGTGGAATCTGCAGCATGCCGTGTGTCTGGTCAGGCGGATGAGACAATTGAACACCTTGTCTAGTCGTGCACTGGTCTGCAACCAGTTCAACCGGTGGAGTGCGCACAGGCAACCCAGGAGCTCGCACCGGCAGAGGCACTCGGCTTTGGGTCTGCTTCCAGCTCAGTGGCATACTCTGCGGGTGGGACTAACAGCAACAACGCCGATGCTACACCTAAAACCAACAAAGGGTGGCGTGAGCGGGTGGAAGCCACGAAGCGAAGATTAGAGAACTGGTGGATGCTAGTTCACCAACGGGGATAACCAATCCCCACTGGCTAGGTCCCAAACTTTACGGGACCGCCCGATTCAAAAGGGAAGAGCAGCAAATTATCATCATCATCATCATCATCATCGGCGGCGGCGCGTGCGCGGCGCAAACCCAGCGAAAGAAGACACTCTCGCTCGGGCACCGAAGAAGAGCGGCCGTGCGACATGTCCCGAGATCAACGGCACCAAAAGTACGTCGTCGGAGAGCGCGATTGTCTTCGCAGGTGCGCCATCACCGGGATCGGCGCTTGGGCTTTTGCCTTCAAGCCGTCTTAGGGATAACTTATGAGACCGTGTGAATTTTTTAAAGTATTGATCGGACTGTTTTTTGTTCAAAACAGTAAAGCAAGCGCGCCCTGTGTTTACGGCTTCAAGTGATCTATCTATTCATGGGCACCGAGAAAACAAAGATCAAAGCGCGAAAAGCCGACGTCCCAGAAGTCAAGTCACGGCGTGAGCAGGATTTCGCGAAATTGAATTGAAAGATATCGCCAAAGACTTGAGACAGTACCTGTTTGTTAAATAACTCGAAAAGTCTCCGAAGGTAAAGCAGACTTCATTGACTTCACTTTCACATGCAGACCGACGCTGCCGACACCTTCACTTCGGAACATTTGTGGCGGGTTTATTGTCGTTTTTGCCGTTTTTGTGATTTGCAAGCCAAAACGAATGGTGGATCAATGAACACAGGTGAACCCATTTGGTAGAGTGCCTCAATGTTGCTTGCCGGCTGCGCTCTAGAATCTGGCGGCACTTAGCGCCACCTCACGTCATCTACGTAAAAGAACGCGCCTGCGACGTTCCTTTGGGAGCGACCGCCCTGATGCAAAAGGGTTTTGGTGCTATTGAATACTGCATAGCTGCGTTACGTTTGATTGAGGTGCCTTTTTCGCCGAACGAATAAACTTGAAAAATAAAAATACACAATATTTCCCTTACTCATGGTCCCTTCCCTTCCTGCCCCTTCACCATTCCCTTCCCCACAACCTCTTTTCTGAAAGTCTAGTTTCCCTACACTTACGTGTGTTCACTGAATCGACTGAATCATTCACGATTTCAACTGTTCACTAACCTCAGTGGAGTTGGGTGAAGCAACCATCCAGACGAAGTCACCATGTCGTGGAACAGGGAGCTTGTGGGCAGAAGCTTGTTCTGTTATTCTGAACCCGCAAGTTTATGCCGAGAGCAAGACGTCTGCTTCATGCGCAGGTAGTGCGGGGACGTGGGAACAACGCCGAGTTCTTATTGACTGATTGGAAGGATAGACCTCAATACTAGATGCGGTCTACGCACCACTTTTTTCGACCAGCTAATAAGAGCTCGGCATTCTGACATCATCGCATCCCCTGTGCAGGAAGCAGACGAACTTGCGCTCCACATTGCATTTTTTTCTAGCCGTTTTATGCCGGCTACGAGGCATCCATGTTCAGTGCGAGAGTCTTGTTACTGGCATCGCACGAAATACCCGAGAAGAATATCCGAATAATTTAAGATAATACGCTATTCGATATTCACTTCAAGCTGAACTACGATTTTCATACTTTTCGGAGAGTTAATCGCGGCGGGTTGACCGGGAGCTGCTTCTCCGCAGTGCACAGGTGCTCGGTGAGAAGTGCACTCAACGGGCCTCACCCGCCGCGATTATGCAATGTTAGGCTGCAATGTCTTGACGAACCGCGAATTCCTCTTTTTTAAAAATAATAATGGACATTTGCAGAGAGTAGGCAGATATATAAATATTCTCGAATAGGATAGCTGCGACAAATTTTCCGTTTAATTGCCACAGTTCATCAATACATATTACATTAAAATTAACTGAACTTAGAACTAGACAAGTTGAAGGTTGAAACACCTTCACGATTTCAGCTGAATTTTCGATTAAGCATGATGTATGGTTAGAGAAGCTATTCAATCCGAAAACATTCACCCAAAACCACTCTTTGCTTCAAACCTCAAAATCCGCTATTCGCACATGGCCAGAAATACTGGAGACAGTATAGATTCTCTCGGAACAGCCTATCAATGACCAATAAGCTCTCTTCTCACCACAAGCAGTCTCACCTCCCCTTTTCTGGTCCTCTCCAGCGTTTTGCTGTGCTAATCTGGAAACAGTGGACTTGTGGGAGGATTCTGGTCCTACCATTGTTAACCGGCAGCAGTCTACGAGGTCTACACTATAGGTCAGAGGTAGTGTTCATACATCACACTATTCATTTAATGTTGCAGTTTATGCCAAATTAACTTTGGCTGGTTTGGTGTGTGCCAGTGCTTTATAACATGATGAATCTTGAAGGTTAAAGGGAAATCGCCAAAGAGAAGCGGTCACCTACTGGGAGCTTCTCGAGTGGCGAGAATAAAAGATTTGTGACCTGGCAAGTGCAGGGGCAGCTGCTTTTCGTCACTGAGAAAAGAGGTATGGTTCCTTTTATTTGAGCTAAAGATACAAGTTCCACTCGTTAAGAGTTGAATTTGTTGTTAATTCATCCGCCAATTCTATCTTTGGCAATAGTATATGTTGAACTTTAGAGGGCAGAAAGACCATCATTCATACTAAGGACGATACCACAACACGAAACTTAACCTGCCCCAGATGATGAGCACGCTCAGGTGCAACAAGAGTAGGCCAAGAATATGTGGGCACCATGGCGATAAAGTGGCCCAGGGATGCCGTGAGGATACACTCTCCCCAACAAAGACTGGTGAAGACGATAGAGATTTTATATGCCACTCCACATCCATAACCTGGATCTGGCAAAAAATAGTTCCAAATACAAACTAGGACAAAATGGTCCCATTTAAATTTTGAGGCATAGGTTGCTTCATAGCATTACTTGTTCATGGCGATTGACTTGTTGAAAATATAACACACAGAAAATTGTTGTAGCTAGTAATAGTGGTACCAATAGACATGGCCTGCACGTTGATGGTAATAATAATTTCTACTTGCGCTTACCGTGAAAAACTATTCCGGTGGCGCAAAGTAAATACTACAAAAAATATAAGGTCAGCAAAAAGAACCACAGTGACATTTAATGCAGGTCACAGAGATGCTTATACTACCATAATAATAATCAACCAGAGCATGTGTGGCAGTGTGCATATTCTCAGTATTTAGTTTACACCAAGGTTTGCATGCTGTCACTGCTTCCTTTTAGAAAATGATTTGCTAGGCACAGGAAAACAATAATAGTAATATTAGTAAGAATAATAATAATAATAATAATAATTTTAGAGCGCAGCTCCTAGGCGCCTGTTTTGGCAAGGCATAACCTCCCCGCTAAATTTAGCAGGAAATTGAATTGGTGTTGATGTCACGTGACGTCAATTTTCCTGGTGAATCTAGCGGAGAACCTGAATTTGTTCATGGATGACATGACATGAACACATGGTTTGTCATTTTACCAGCTAAACTTAGCGCGGAAACTGAATTGGTCTTGAGGTCACGTGACGTCAATTTGTCCGCTATATTTAGCGGGCAAACTTGACTCACTGAATTTAGCGCTAACATTTCCCCGCTAAATTTAGCTAAATTTACATGCTGTCATTGCTTGCTTTTCGACGGACATTTATTAGAGGCAGGGAAACAACAATAATAATAGTATTATTATGATTATTATTATTAATAATAATTTTTATTTGCAGTTTCATTTACCCAACCTAGCACTGGGCGAGGCTCGATTGATTCTGTCAAAAACAAGAACACTGACTAACAAAATATTAACGACCCGAACAGTAGAGAGAGCGATAATCTTGATGCAGACCCCCCCCAAAAAAACTAAATACCGTTACTTTCTCAAAAAGAAACTAAATGTAAAAAAGAATGCATTATTTACCTCAAAGGTAACAAGTTACCTTTGTGTTACTTTGACGACCAAATACACAACTGCTTTTGTTGTACATCTCCGGCACAGTGAAGAGTCGTTCTACTCACAGGCTCGAAGGAACAACAGTGTTGTGCTTCTGGAAGGGATGGCGAATCTGGGATTCTTCTCTTTTGTTCTCTCCGTCTCTAAAGTTCAAAGTTAACAACGGGTTCTGTGCCTTTCCGTGTTGGCAACCTACGGGTCTACATTTGGTCTGTACACGATTCTAGAAGGTTCAAGCAACGACCCTTAGCTTGCTGGCTGTGTGAAGGACATTCCCAGCTGAAGAGTTCGACTGACGAGTTTAGCAAGAAACGTTGCTATACTGTCATGCTGTTCAGTAGTTTTTCAAGTTGCCCATCTTTTGTCGCAATAGAAGCATACTTCGGTTAGAATTAAAACTAGGCTCTTTAAACAGCGTTGTACACTGTACTCAGAATTAATGAAATACCTTTCCTCCTTAATTGGCTTAAAAGTAACTAAGTA